ACCAGGCGTAGCAGCATATGCCTGTAGTCCCAGCTAGTCAGGAGGCTAAGACAGAGGGATCGCCTGAACCCAGGAAGTCAAGGCTTTGGTGAGTTATAGTTGTGTCACTGCACTCCCTCCCGGGCAACAGAGGGACCCTGAATCAAAACAATAAAATAAAAAGAGTCTCTTAAACTACAAAGGATTCTTTAAAAAAATGTTAAGCACAACCATAGATCATTAGTAAAAACATACATAAACTTGTTCAGGAGTAACCTTTTACCTTGTCTTGTACCCTTATCAGATGAGCAAGTGAGATTTATTGTAATATTTTACTTTTGTTTTCTTTTTGGAAGTAGATTATCATGCTAAAACAGAATGTTGATATTCCATCTGAATAACAAAAATTAAAACTAATTTGTCCTTCCATTTGGGAAATGAAAGGGGGCATTATTAACAATTATGCTGAGATAGCAGTTGAAATCTGGGATTGTCCTGGGTAAACTGGGATATATATGGCTCCCTATCTCAAGGTAATAGAGTTATGCTTCTGAGAAATGCATCATAAAGTGGTTTTGTCATTGTGTGAACATCATAGAATGTACTTACACAAACCTAATTGGTATACCTACTACATACCTAGGCTATATGATATAACCTATTACCTAGACTATAAACCTATACATCATGTTACTGTAAATACTGTAGACAGTTTGTACACAATGAAAAGTATTTGTGTACCTAAACATATCTAAGCATAGAAAAAGGTACAGTAAAAATATAGTATAAAATATTTTTTAAAATCTGTATAGACTTTATCATGAATGGAGCTTTGCAGACCTGGAAGTTGCTCTGATTGAGTAACAGGGTGAGTGGTGAGTGAATGTAAAGGTCTAGGACATTGCTGTTCACTACTGTAGACTTTATAAACACTGTATACTTAGGATACACTAAATTTATCAAAAATGTTTTTTTCTTCAATAATATATCAGCCGGGCTTGGTGGCTCAACCTGTAATCCTGCGCTTTGGGAGGCCGAGGTGAATGGATTGCCTGAGCCCGTGGGTTTGAGACCCGCTTGGGCAACTTGGCGAGACCTCATCTCTACAATAAATTAAAAAAAAAAAAAATTAGCCGGGTGTGGTAGCACGTGCCTGTAGTTCCAGCTACTTGGAAGGCTGAGGCGGAAGGATCGCTGGAGCCCAGCAGGTCAAGGCTGCAGTGGCTGGGAGTGGCCACTGTACTCCAGTCTGGGCGACAGAGTGAGACTCCGACTCAAAAAAAAAAAAAGTTAAGCCGGGCTCGGTGGCTCAGCCTGTAATCCCGCGTTTGGGAGGCTGAGATGAGTGAATTGCCTGAGCCCATGGGTTCGAGACCCTCCTGGGCAACTTGGCAAGACCTATCTCTACAAAAAATCAGCCGGGCGTGGTAGCACGTGCCTGTAATTCCGGCTACTCAGAGGGCTGAGGCAGAAGGATCACCAGAGCCCAGCAGGTCGAGGCTGCAGTGGCCGGGAGCGGCCATTGTGCTCCAGTCCGGGCGACAGAGTGAGACTCCAACTCAAAAAAAAAAAAATAGATCAGCCTGCCTTAGCTTACTGTAACTTTTTTACTTTATAAACTTTTAAAAAGCTTTTTGACTCTTTGTAATAACACTTAGTTTGAAACACAAATTAATAACACTGAGTTTAAAACACAGATACACTGTACAACTCTACAAAAATAACTTTTCTTTATCCTTACTCTATAAGCTTTTTCTGTTTTTAATTTTTTTTTTTGAGTTGGTGTCTCACTCTGTTGCTCAGGCTGGAGTGCAGTGGCTCGCTCACGGGCATCTCCACCTGTGGGCTCAGGCAGTCCTCTCACCTTTGCCTCCCAAAGTGCAGGGATTATAGGTGGGAGCCAACACGCCCGGCCTTAATTTATTTTTTAATTAAAAAAAAACACATGAATACGTATTAACTTAGGCCCACACAGGGTCAGGATAATCAATATTACTGTCTTCCATCTCCACATCCTTTTCCACCGGAAGGTGTTCAGGGGCAATAACAGGCATGGAGTTGTCATCTCCTGTGATAGCAGTATTTTCTTCTGGAGCACCCCCTGAAGGATTTGCCTGAATCTCTTCTTGAGATGCCACTCTTTTTAGAAATATGTCCGTGATACGTTGCTTGGTTTATTTCTATTTTTTATCTTAAATTTATTTGTAAGTAGTTAATAGCAGCATGAGCATTCTTTTCTATTAGTGAAAAACTTTCTGTGTTGGGGGTCCTTGCTTTCACACTCCTTAGGGAGCTTGTTAAGATCTACAAAAGCTTCTACCAGCCCTTCACTGTGGCTTTTCTTGGGGGTTCTTTTTTTTCTTTTCCTTCAAGTTTCTTTTATCTTGCTTCTTTTTTAGCTATGTTTTCCTGTCCAGTACCAAGAAACTCCTTAGTCAATTCCTGCCATATTACTTTGGATATACTGTCACCAGGTGATAGGAATTTTTCAACTCTGTTATAATTTTTTGGGACCACCACCATGGTCTATTGTTGACCAAAACATCATCGTGTAGTACATGACTGTATATAGTAGCTACTATCATTTTTTTATTTTTGGTGAAAATAAAACTGGTTGGGTAGCTACTATCATTTTTTATTTTTGGTGAAATTTAAGTACTAAAAATGAGTCAAGGAGTAGCTTTTGGCAAAGCGTGACAGAACTCATCATAGGACTTTCTTTACTTGTAAGTGATACAAAATGGTACAGCTAGACCAAGTCTTTTAAAAATCCCCATAGATTTCAATTTGTTGCTGCTGCTGCTGCCGCCTCTTCCTCCTTCCCTTCCTTCTCCTCTTCTTTCCCCTCCTCCCCCTTCTTTCCTCCTCCCTCCTTCCTTCTTCTTCTTTGAGTTGGAGTCTTCTGTCATCCAGGCTGGAGTGCAGTGGCATACTCACAGCCATCACAGCTTCCACCTGCTGGGCTCAGGCAATCCTTCTTCCTCAGCCTGGCAAGTAACTGGAACCACAGTCGCATGTCTAATTTTTTTGATTTATTGTTGAGGTCTCATCAAGTTGCCCAGGCTGGTCTTGAACCCCTGGGCTCAGGCAATAGTCTTGCCTCTGCCTCCCAAAGTGCTGGGAATACAGGTGTGAGCCACCACAGATGGACTGATTTTTTTTTTTTTTTTGAGTTGGAGTCTCAAGCTGTCGCCCAGGTTGGACAGCTACCTCAGCCTTGACCTGCTGGGCTCAGGCAGTCCTTCTATCTCAGCCTTCCAAGTAGCTGGAACTACAGGCATGCGCAACCACGCCTGGCAAATTTTTTTATTTTATTTTGATTTATTGTAGAGATGAGGTCTTGCCAAGTTGCCCAGGATGGTCCTGAGCCCTTGGGCTCAGGTAATCTTCTCGCCTCAGCCTCCCAGAGTGCTGGGATTACAGGCATGAGCCACCATGCCCAACCTCTTTTTTTTTTTTTTTTTTTAAGAGACAGAGTCCCACTATGTGAGTCTCTGGAGTACAATGGCTGGAGTACAATGGTGCAATCACAATTCACTGTAGCCTCAAACTCATGAGCTCAAGTGATCCTCCTGCCTCAGCCTCCCAAGTATCTAGGACTACAGGCACATACCACCATGGCTGGCTAATTTTAAGAAACATTTTTTGTAGTGAGATAGACTCTTGCTATGTTACCCAGGTGGGTCTCAAACTCCTGACCTCAAGTAATTCTCCTACCTTGGCCTCTAAAAGTACTGGGATTACGAGTGTGAGCCATGATGCCTGACCAGATTTCAACTTGGTTCTTAATAACACTTCTGTAAAGCTGAAAGTGTAACTACCAGACATGTATTGCAAATTAAATGAACACTTCTTTTAAGTTTATGGTTTATAGACTTGTGGCTCTTAGATCTCAGGGGATCTAAAGTAGACGACATTATAAAGTAGGCAAATAGCCGGGCTCGGTGGCTCGGCCTGAAATCCCGTGCCTTGGGAGGCTGAGGTGAGTGGATTGCCTGAGCCCGCGGGTTCGAGACTTGCCTGGGCAACTTGGTGAGACCTCATCTCTACAATAAATCAAAAAATTAACCGGGCATGGTAGTGTGCGCCTGTAGTTCCAGCTACTTGGAAGGCTGAGGCAGAAGGATCGCCGGAGCCCCAGCAGGTCAAGGGGCCACTGCACTCCAGTCTGGGCGACAGAGTGAGACTCCAACTCAAAAATAAATAAATAAATAAATAAGACAAATAAGTAGATAATAGCCGATTTTAGAATGTCATTTTTTTTCTGTTGAAGTTGCTCATTCACTGTGATATTATATGTATAAACTTTGTACTCAGTGTAAACTGAAGATGGTTGTTAGCATTTCCAGATTAGGAAACAAAACTAGACTTCCCATATCTGTTCTTCAGTGCTCTGCTACTACAGCAAATTATTCTCAGTCATAGCTTTATCCTGTTAGTACTAAGTGTGCTTATTGTTATCAGTAGTAAAGTACATTAAGCAACTAGCCTTTTAAGAATAAAGTCTATGTCCATGAGTCCTCTGATCAGGAACCAAAGTCAGACTTCTAAAACATGAGATTTCATTAGGCAGGTTCTGTGGAAGACATAAATGCCATTTTAGTGTTATGATTACTTTTCTTTCATTTTCTTTAACCACATTTTCATTTTTAACACTTTTTCCATAGATAAAAAAGTAAATATATTCATTATTCATATCATCTAATGCCTTGTCTCATTTTTAGCTTATTTCCTGAATAAGCTTCAGATATTTCATGTTTATATATAGAACGTCATAATTTATGCACATACACACTTTTTTTTAGATAACTTTGACTTTAATTGTGACCTTTTTTGATGATTAGAATTGATCATTTATGATGTATAGTGTCTGGGACTTCCCCTCTCCCCACATTTTTTCTGGTGCTGTGAATGTGAAATCATGATGATTTGTTAAGTTTGTTTTTTCACATAAAATAAGTGTATTTTTGTTATTTTCTATATCTTTAAGTATCTTAAATTATTATTTTCTCTCTAGCTGTCCCCTTTCCTCCAACCCAACGGCTTACTTTGAAGGAAGTATTTGAAAATGGGAAACCTAAAGTTGATGTTTTGAAAAACCATTTGGTAAAGGAAGGCCGACTGGAAGAAGAAGTAGCCTTGAAGATTATCAATGATGGGGCTGCTATCCTGAGACAAGAGAAGACTATGATAGAAGTAGAAGCGCCAATCACAGGTATGAAAAGTATATGTATCATGGCACTTAGATCTTAGCTAATTTTGAGAAATGATGACAAATAACCAGCTAAAATGCTACTTTTTCTAGGAATTATGAGACATAATTGGTAAAATTGGTTATGATATTTGCTGCTCCTTGAAGAAATAAAACTGTAAATGTCTAATAGTTCTAGTAGGACTGTTTAGTATCAATAGATCGACTGCAGTTATACAGTTATACAGCGTTCAGTCAGAAGCTGAAGTGCCAGCCCGGACAACTTGGTGAGACCTCTTCTCTACAATAAATCAAAAATTAGCTGGGGAGGTAGCGCACACCTATAGTTCTGGCTACTTGGAAGGCTGAGGTTGAAGGATTGCTGGAGCCCAGCAAGTCGATGTTGGGGTGACTGTGAGCATGCCACTGCACTCCGGCCTGGGCAATGGAGTGAGACTAACTCAACAACAACAAAAAATAAAGTAATTTAAGTTAAAATTTGAACTGTGATCTTTTTTGGTATAATGTCCTTTTTCTTCTAAGATGTAATTTCTTACCTCAGCTGATGACTTTTTTTCCTAGTGTGTGGTGACATTCATGGACAATTCTTTGACCTAATGAAGTTATTTGAAGTTGGAGGATCACCTAGTAATACACGCTACCTCTTTCTGGGTGACTATGTGGACAGAGGCTATTTCAGTATAGAGGTAAAAATTAAAGTAGATATGCTTTAATTTGCTTTCCATTCTTCAGTAGACAAAATTAAAATGAGAACACTGGCAGAATTCGTGTACTTTTTTACTTTCAAAATTAAAGTGATAGAGAATGCTTTCATTGATATAAAAAAGCTATTCCCTTTTTTTAAGCAGTAGAAAATCTGACATATAGAAGGCTATATATTAACCCAACTTTGCAAATGATTTAAATATTTACTAACCTTTACTCTTTGACGATAATGTACAGGCTGTATACAAATAACATAAATTGTTATTCACCCTAAACAGGGTTTGGATTAGCTGCCCTTAATTATAAGACTGTAAGCTTCTAGGCTTAACATGTCAATTAACTGTCAATGGTAAATAAGCAGGGACTTAGCTTATTATAGGAATCATTTCTGGTACTATTACACATAGTAGGCACTTAAGTGTTCATTTGCAGCTAAGTTCATGAAAATTTACAATTTTCTTTGACATATTTTGAAAATTATATGATAAGAGCATGGTTAGAATTAAAATCAAGTAGATGTTTTTATGTGGAAAAGATAAAACTGTTATAGAACTTAATACAAGGACTTAAGAACAGTGGAACCACAGCACATTCATATTTAATATTCATTGATTCACTCTACATACTTAACAAATAAAAGAGAAATAACTTTAGAAATAGTGTGGATAATCAAATTTGTAATCTACTTCAGAAAAAGCATGAGATGAGAAACTGAGTCTGCTTGCTTTTTTTGCTGTCTGTAGTCCTGCCTTCCCCTCTCTGTGTGGGAGTCTCACTGTACTGTGTTTCAAGGTTCACAACTTGTGGTTCAAGGTTTATTGTTCATGCAGCATCCCTCTTAAAAACAAGTTAGCTGTCTCACCTGATGACCAACCAGAGAAGTAGCAGTTGTTCTAAAGCTGCAGAAAAATAAACAAAATAAATAGATTTGTACTTGTTAGAAAGGCAGTCTAAATTCATGTATCAGAAAAGTTCAGTATTGTTTGCTAGTGCCTTGAATTCATCTAGTGTCCAATGTGAAGACAAAAGTTAATGGTGTAAACTGAAAAATGGCAAAGCCCATTTTTCCTACTGTTCACTTCTTTCTACTGCTCATTTCCTTGCTGCTTAGTAAATGTTTACAGTCTCTCTAAATAGGTATTGGGAATAGGTGGAGATCACACTTGCAGACTGTTTTATTGAGAAACTTCCCTATTGCTATTTACATCATGGTTCAGTAGACACAGTAAGTCAAAAGCATTGATGTTTGAAAGACATATTGAGAAGGCCAGGCATGGTGGCTCAAGCCTGTAATCCGAACCCTTTGGGAGGCTGAGGTGAGAGGATTGCCTGAGCCCAGAGTTTTGAGACCAACCTGGGCAACTTGGTGACACCTTGTCTCTACAATAAATAAAAAAATCAGCCGGGCGTGGTGGCATACGCCTATAGTTCCAACTACTTGGAAGGCTGAGGTGGAAGTGTCGTCTGAGCCCAGCAGGTCGAGGCTGCAGTGGCTTTGAGTGTGCCCCTGTACTCCAACCTAGGCGACAGAGTGAGACTCAGACTCAAAAAAAAAAAAAAAAAAAAGAAAGACATTGAGTATTTGTTTATTTCTCTGTAATATGGGATCACAAGGAAGTTTTAGAAGGCAAAGAGAAGAATACAAAACTTACTGAATTTTTAATTAGTCATTTTAATTTTTAAAATTTATTTATTTATTTTAGAGATGAGGTCCCACTTTGTTGCCCAGGCTGGAGTGCATTGGCTGTTCACAAGCACAGTCATTGCACACTGCAGACTCCAGCTCTTGGACTCAAGCAGTCCTTCCACCTCAGCCTCCTGAGTAGCTGGGACTACAGTGTGCACCATAGCAGCTGGCTAGTCACTTTACTTAATAAAATAATTTTCTTTTTTGAAGTCTTACTCTGTTACCCAGGCTGGAGTGCGGTGGCACAATCACAGTTCACTGCAGCCTTGACCTCCTGCCTCATCTTTCTGAGTAACTGGAACTACAAACACACACCACAATGCCCAGCTAATTTTTTTTTTCTTTTTTTTAGAAAAGAGGTCTTGCTATGTTGCCCAGGATGGTCTCGAACTCTTGGTCTCAAGTGATTCCCTTGCCTTGTCCTCCCAAAGTGCTGGGATTACAGGCGTGAGCCACTGTGCCTGACCTAAGATAACTTTTTATTGATAAATTATCATGTCAAATTATATTCTGATTATTAACTCATAAAACTTAAAAATAGTTTTAATTCATTAATACATTCAATAAAGCACATACAAAAATGCACAATGATTTTTGTACATGTATACCATATGTAGAATATTTTGTTGCACATTTTTTTCCTAATTCATCAGCAGTTTCCTGAAAGAATAAGATAAAAATTATGAGTCATGCTTTTTATAGGAGCTGGCAGTCTAATAGAAAAGGTACATTTATGAATAGTCTTTCATTATAATACAAAAAATGATTTTTTAATTATCAACATTATTCCTCATATTAGGACTTGACACAGTGCCTGACACATAGTAGGCAGTTCATATTTGTTGAACAAATTAATGTTAATAAATCATATTTTGTATTAGTTTTTTATCCTGTTATCAGATAATTCTACACTTATGGGGTTTTTCCAGAATAACAAGAGATAAATTAATAAAAACTTTAAGGTGACAATGCTATTTTATACCAGCTTTAAAACTCAACTGTGGGGCTGGGCTTGGTGGCTCAGCCTGTAATCCCAGCACTTTGGGAGGCCGAGACAAGTGGATTGCCTGAGCCTGCGAATTCAAGACCAGCCTGTGCAACTTGACGAGACCTCATCTCTACAATAAATCAAATATTAGCCGGGCATGGTAGAATGTACTTGTAGTTCCAGCTACTTGGAAGGCTGAGGTGGAAGGATCGCTCAGGTCAATGCTGCGGTGTCCGAGTGTGCCACTGTACTCTATAGCCTGGGCTATGGAGTGAGACTCCAACCCCAAAAAAAGAAAAAAATTTTTGTTATTATAGCATTTGAAAATAATAACCATAATTATGACTGATAACATATTATATTTTAATAAATCATATAAATTTAAAAATATTTATGTTAACATCATATCCACAAATGCAATTAGTAGGAGATCTAGTTATCACTTATCATTTGACAGTGTTTTGCATATAATTTACCAAATAAACCTAGTCATTTAATATCTCTATGAGATGAGAGATATATCCTTTGAGGCTTTCCAAGGCTTAACTGGAAAATCCCATAGTTAATTTTAGGTCAAAGAGACTTAATGAAGGTTTGATTTTGGGGATGTTTGTCAGAGATGTCAGAAGGCTCAAAACATTTAATCAAAATAGAATACAAGTCACTGTAAATAATAGTCATTCATTTAACCAGAGTGATAATCAAAAGGCTTCAAAAGCATTACAGAAAGTTACGTGGTTGTAAAAACCTTAACTCTTTTGAAACTCAGTTTTCCTACATAATCAAAAAACTAACGAAGGCAACACAGAAAGTTGTCTTGATAAAAATGTAAAATCTGTTTCTTAAACAAGCTGCCAAATAGGTAAAGGAAAATCTTCTGCAGTGTGATTGTTTCTATTTACAGCAGTGTGATTGTTACTCATTTAGATAACCTGGAAGTCAAACCTGATGAAAAGAGTATTTGAATTAATCAGACATAGGAAGATGTGCCAAAGATTATGATCATAACAATTCATATACATCAAGAAAAGCCAAGAGAACAAAATGAAATTATACTGGAGGAAATATTGCTTTTCTAGGCGCTTAAGATAAACATCTTGGCCAGGCTTGGTGGCTCAGCCTGTAATCCCAGCACTTTGGGAGGCCGAGGCGACTGGATTGCCTGAGCCCACAGGTTCGAGACCAGCCCGGGAATCTTGATGAGACCTTGTCTCTACAATAAAAAAAAAAAAAAAAAAAGAACTGGAACTAAAAGTTACAGGCACTGAGGAGGGAGTTGGAGGAAAGAGTTAGGACCCAACCAAGCAAAAAAGGTATACCTTTTTAAGTGGAGAAGAAACAGAAAGCAATAATATTATGACCTGCAATTATGTGCAGTGAGGTGCAGCAAAATTTGAACTTCTGAGATATAAATCTGAAAAGTTTCAAGAAGAAAAAAATTTCAGAATTAAAAATCAAAACTTCTTTTATTAAGAACAAATCGGTACTTTAAGGAAAACCTGTTGTTCTACCATAAAGTACCAAATTTTTAGTTGTTTCTTTTTTTTTTTTTTTGAGTTGGAATCTCACTCCGTCGCCCAGGCTGGAGTGCAGTGGCACGCATACTCATGGCCACCCCAGTGTTGATCTGCTGGGTTCTGGCAATCCTTCTGCCTCAGCCTTCCAAGTAGCTAGAACAACAGGTGTGCTCTATCATGCCCAGCTAATTTTTTGTTTATTGTAGAGATGAAGTCTCATCAATTTGCCTGGGCTGGTCTTGAACCTGTAGGCTCAGGCAATCCACTCGCCTCAGCTTCCCAAAGTGCTGGGATTACAGGCTGAGCCACTGAGCCCAGCCTTCCTGATTGTTGATTTACAGCGGCTGGGCCACCAAGTCTGGCTTATATTTTTTTTTAATATCAAAGCTCAATCTTTAGAAAGACTTTAAAAATCATTTCCTTTTTATTTCAGCCATCTTGATCACATGTAATTTTTTTTGTTGATGTTTTAGGGTAGGGTCTCGCTCTGTCACCCAGGATGAAATGCAATGGCATGATCATGGCTCCCTGCATCCTCAGCCTCCTGGGCTCAAGCTATCCTTCTGCCTCAGCCTCATGAGTAGCTGGGACTCCAGGTGTGCACCACCATGGCTGGCTAATTTTTTTTTTTTTTTTTTTGAGACGAGGTCTGCTGTGTTGCCCAGGCTGGTCTTGAACTCTTAGGTTCAAGCACTTCTCCCACCTTGACCTCCCAAAGTGCTGGAATTATAGGCATGGGCCACCACATCCAGTCTAAAATTCCTTTTATAAATTCTCTCTCTTTTTTGT